GCACTAACAGTTTACAATTCTTGATATATCCGATTGTTAAGCCTAAGAATATAACACTTTTAAAATTATATCTTAATTCAGTTTTATGGCTCTGCTAAAGGGCACCAATTACATGGAAAAGTAAATAGTTACGTAGTATACTGAACTCTGTTACTAGTATAAGGACTGGTTACTAATTTATATGCTCAAACCCAATATTTGTAATTAGGTGATGTTGAGTTTAATGGCTGAAGAATTATTCCAAAAGCCATAACTGGTATCATTTTCATAAGGGGTTTTAAAATAACTGACAAATATAGTTGGGTAAAAATGTTAAAATATTTGGCAGAAAGAATACTTAAACGTCCCAGAATAGTCTAGCGATAGTCTAAATGCAAGAGAGAGACATTTTGGGGGTGGAAAAAGATACTTGGTGGTGTCTAATAAAATGGATTTGCAAGAATGGAGATCCTAAACTGAATCTGAAAACCTCAGATGTATACTATCTGTAATATTATTGATGAAAATAATGGTAAAATAGGAAAAGTTAGTACTACAGGAAACATAATTACTTGACCACTTAATATTTCAATTGATATGGTTTAGATACCTATAAAAAACCACAGTGTAATGGGAGAAGTGATGGGTACCTGACATTATTATTAAATCGAGATATCCTGTCCCAGCTTGACTTTATCAATCTGTGAATCTAGATGGTGCATTTTATATATAAAATGACTCATGTGGGTCCAGTACTAATTGGAAGGATAGACAGAAAAAGCATTAGGTTTATTGTGCAGGTGCCCAAGATGGTATAGTTTTGCAGGACTTTTGAGATGAATTGCATCTCTTGCAGTAAATGTGGTAATTTTTTTTTTTTTTTAATTATGGTTCCAGGTGACATTAAGACTTGCAGATCAATATATAGCTGTAGTGTGTAAAGTGCAGGATATTCACTGCTTCACAGGATGTGGTGAATTGATTGTGGGTGGGATGTGGGCTACATTTCTTGATGTGCTTCTTTCTAAGGAAGGATTTGGTACAATTGTATTTTCTCAGTACCTATACCTTAACATAAGCCCCTACTTCCTACCTCATGGTGCCCGCAGGGCAGGTTTTTATGGGCATACATTACTGGTCAAGAAATGAAACAATATGAATTTGAAAAAGCTTTCTTTAAAATGTCTTTCTGCCAGGAAAATTGAGTACTTGATTATACCCTAAGAGTTCCGTGGGTTTAAACCTGTAATTTTTGATTGCTAGAAAATATTGATGGTTGACTTTCACATTAAGATTCTGTCAGTTCATGTGGGGGACATTCATGTACCAGCTGCCTGATGCAGATTCCCTGATATTTGTCGGCTTTATGCCTGCTTGGGGAACCTGTAGGATCTGTTTGTGGTCCTGTCCACGTGCATTCAGGAAAACTGTTGGAACCCAACTGTGTTTTAAATATTGATTTCTACTAATTTAGTGAGGTATAGCAACAGGTTTGAAAGCTTTGGGGAGCCAGATTTGTAGCTAACTTAACATGAAAAATGTTTCTGAAAACAGAATAGGAAGTGGAATTGGAGTGGATTGGAAGAGCATTTTGTAGGTTGCCTTTCTAAGGGATGTACATCATCCTTCCACTGGTATAAATTGGTTTTCTGTGGACCTTTTCTGTTATTTTTCTTATTCTTGTGCTGTCACCTGAAATATGTTTTACTTTTGGAACCAGGGTACTGGAAATAGCCAGATCTTTGATCCGTTCTTGCTTAGTGTCCTACTATGGGAGGAGTGCAGCTGAAAAATAATCAGGATCTAGAGTCTCTGTCTTTTGAATTAGACTAATCTGAGAATGTGAAAGATATATTCAGCCTTCTCTTATTCTGCATTCATCAGACTGTTATATCTGCTCCCAATCTGTTATGTCATCGAGACATGCCCTTGGTTGTAGTTAAATACTAAAGGGAGTCTCCGCCCAGCAAAACGAAATGTGTTTCATTTGCTCACCTCTCAAGCATGTTGCTGACCTCCTCACTCCACAGTGGTTTAAATATCTCAGATAAGAACCTTTTGGCTTTGCATTTTAACTCTTAAGAAAGGCAGTGTGCTTTGTAGACTTTCTGAATACACAGCTGCTTTCCATTTAACAGTATCATATACTAGCAAACCATAAATCATGTATACATATTCTTCTTTACATGGCTCAGACTGCTCTGAGAAAAACTGGTTCTACCATCCAGTGATTCCCTTAGCATAATCATTGCTTGGGTAGACCTATTTAAAAAGATCTTGCTAATCCAGTGATCTGGCTCAGACATGACTGCATGGCACACATGCTGATTTCTCGAGTTTGTTCCTAGTTCCAATGAGTGTGTTTCGAATGCATTGCTTGAATTCAACTGAAAAGTTACTGAAAGCAATGCAGGATTAAACAGGAAACGAGATTGTGCAAAGCAGTTTATTTGTTTTGCAGAAATTTGCTATGATTATTCTGGTTGACTGTTGAAAAAGTCAGTGAGGTTGAAGATTAGAGCCTTTTTAAAAACAGGGGTTGATCTCACCTTTTTGTCTTTGGAGGGGTTGTCTCAAGTTTCTGATATGGGTTTCACTTTCAACTAGTTTCTGTTCTCTGAAATAGTAAACATGAAAGCTTAAAACTTACTGTGTGGTAAATTCTACTTAACCTGCAGTTATTGCATGTTATTATTCAGCAGAATCATTGTAGTAGGAATCACCCTTTCTGAAAATCTGCCTGTGGAGTCAGTTTAGAGCACATGGTTTTGATACACAAAATGCCCTATTTTAGGCCCCAGAGTTTAGCCATCATTAGTTGTTAGGACATTATAGACTCCTCCTTTCCAGCTGAAGTCAATTGTCTTATTTGTTCTACTGGTTTTCTTCTTGGTTTTTTTTTTTACAATTGACGAGATACTTGGGAAACTTTCTTGTGGCATGAACAGACTATAGAGATGTGTAGCTAAAATACAAATGGTAATTTAAATATGACATAGATTTGAAAAGAGAGAAAGTATGTGACTTGTGGTCTTGATGATAATGATAAATGTACAGACAACATGCTTCCCTGTAAAAAAAATAAAAAACAAACAAAACAAAAAAACCCCACAACACTCATTTCTGTTACTTGTCTAAACTGGTACTTTTTGATCTTCTATTTGATAATTTCTACTTTTTATGTATCTTAAGGAAAGATAGTACAATATTCACTGTCTGTACATTAGAAAAAGATGCTGTAGCAAGGCGAATGTGGGCTTTTTGGAGCATCATCTTATGAAATGACCCTGAGCTGTACAACTAGAAGGTTGTACTGACTGCCCTTAACTGAGGCAGTTTTTAAAGTTTATATTCATCACTGTAGTAACCTATGAAGCTGATTTCTTGTCCTCTGTTATGGAAGGATGACTTCTAGAGTACACTGGAGTCATGCTAGAAGTCTCTAGTATCTTCCTGAAACCAGGAAAGATGAGAAAATAGCACTGCTACCGTGTGTCAGATCTCTGCACTGGAAGGACAATCAGAAGCCCAATCATCCTCCTTTCCCCAACCCCTAAACAAAACAAACAAAAAACCAACAACAAAAAAAGCCAAAGAAACACCACCTTAAAAACCTCTTGATACACCTGTGTCATATTTGAGAAAGTCTTAATTCTTATAACTTAGTTTTATCCAGATGCATCTTCCAGCAAAAAAAAAAAAAAAAAAAAGAAAAAAAATAAAAAAGTGCTCAGGAGAAAACCTGTAGAGAGCAGGTAGTCCTCTGATGGCACATCCAGTGTGCTTGCAGTATTTGAAAATTAGAGTTCAGAAGTGGTTAGAGTTTAATCTGTCACATAGAAAAGGTTCTCCTTCAGCCATATGCGAGCTAGAAGACTATATTAATCAGAAGTCATTACAGAAGAATGCTAGGAAGATTCCAAACAAGAAGTTGCTGAAAAACTTAGCAGTGGGAAGGAAGGTATAGAATGAAGCTAAGATCTCTGAATCTCTGAGCAACTTTTGTTAACTTTCTATTGTCTAGAAAATATCTATCTATACATGAATGTAACTCTTAAATGAATTAAGTTTTGAAAAAATAGATTAATTAGACTTTGTGTTCTCTAATGCACAAATAAACTTAAATTCTACTCTCAGTGGTAATGGAAAAGGTTACCATTTGTAAGAGTTTTTCATTTGTCTCTAAAATCCTACTGAATTGCTATTAAACTTACAGAGCAAACTAAGACTTAGTGTACCAGGTGATATCCCATACCATAACTTATGAAATAGTCCCTTTTGCTTACAGCTTGCTAATACTCATGTTTGTTGTGTAAGCAAAGTCATTTGAGGGAATGCAAAGTCTTCCAGGGAAAAATACCTCTGAGAGATTCTCCGAGTATATTATCACTGTCAAGAAAAAGAAAGCACTTTTTGACCAACAAGATATTTAAGACTTTTTAAAACTTTATGGCTAGATTTAAAATTCAAAAACCTATTTCTGTACACCTTGTTAGAATTGTTCTTAGTAAAGTACAGAAAATAGTAAATGCTGGCTAATAAAACTAGCATTGCATTCATATTTTTCTAAGGCTATACTATAGCTATAAATTTTCTTGAAGGTAAAGACTGACTTGCTGAGGTCTCACTCTTAGAAAGAACCTGTTTATCTATTATTTTTTTTGTTGTGGCTTTTTACTGTTCGGTCTTTATCAGGTTTAACTGGTTTGCAGAAGTTGTAGTAATGGAAAGTAATGTCCAGCTGTGTAGTAGTGAGGCTTCAAATGCTAGCTTGTTTTATATATTTCTTACTGTGACTTCATCGAGTTTGATAATTCTTGAGGATCAAGGCAAGAGTGGTATTGTATGCCAGCAATATGCAGTTTTTCATGTTTACTTTCAATTACCTGTTTTTAGACAGTATTAAAAAGAAAGCACTTGGTCCTGTACAGCAGCATGCTATGAAAGCACATCTGCAATATATTTATTACTGTACTTGTATTCAGCACTGCTTGTAACTTGCTGTGTCTTGTTTTTTCCAGAATGGACAGCAAATTGTGGATGAACCTATGGGAGAAGATGATATCAACCCTCAAACTGTGAGTAAAACATACCTGTAATAAAGATAGGTGTGCACTATTGGATCACACTGACATCACTTAATTTACAGGCAGTTTGCCACAAATGTTTTGTTTTTTAGGTTTACTGGACATATGATGCAATCTAGGATCCTAATATTTTTGAGAGAGGTTCTTTCTCCCTGACTCTCTTGTCTGGTTTGATATCCCATTGTTTGTTCCAAAAGCTCATACCTCGTATTCCTTTCTGCCTTCAGCTTGCAATAGTCTTTCTGGAGAAGGTCAGGGTGAGGAAGAACTGTGGAAGTGTAGTTTCCATTGTGTTATGGACAGGCATTAGTTGAAAGAAATCTTAACTTCTTGAAAATAGAGACTGCTACTAAAGAGATGATCAATGAACCTTCTGGACTGTGATAATTTTTTTAAGTGCATTATCTCCATGTCAAATTTGCAGTTTACAAAATTTCGTACTGTGAAGATCCCACTGAGTTCAGTTTTCTTGCTGCAGTGCCTGTGACTTTGTCAAACATAAAGTTTGCCTGTGGTTTTGTGTTAGAGAGTATTAGCTGACTTAAATCTTGTGATAAATGGCAAAGCATAACACGGTTCTAACTGCATAGGTACACTCTAGTATTCTGTGTATCAGAAGATAAATTTTGTTTCATTACATCCCTGTTCTTTTGGTCAAAAGTGGAGTTAATTGACATGAGAGCCTGAGTTGCATAGGTTTGATTCAGATTTGGTGGTTTAAGAAAACCAGGAGCTATAACGATACCTGTTTCTGAGGAATCCAAGATGCTGTATGGTTCAAAGTGCTTCTCTTAGAAGGGGTATCATTCAGTAATCTGGTTTTATTACAACAAGTATACTGGTTGTATCTGACTTTATAGCTTGTCAATGCTTTTTATCTAATATATCTCGTAAATGATGTGGGACTAGCAGGAAATAAATGTAAGAACAGCTGGCTGAAGCTTGAGCTAATATGAAAGCTTAAGTGAACATTACTGAAAGAGAGGAAGCTATTTAAAGCCTTCTATTTGCTACCTTTCTCACTCTTGTGCTGCTTGCCATTGCTTTCTGTATGTCTGTGTCCATAGAGACTGAGTAAATTAACTGAGCAAATCAATTGTTTTGAGCTGTTACACTCATGCTACATGCTTTATTGCTAGTTAAAGCTAACCAGAAGCTGCAGCTAGTCTAGCAAAGAGCTTCCCATTTTGTATGTATGTGAAGAGCATATTGTGTGTGTGTGCTGTTCTTTGTTATTTTCTTTGTCTGGCTTCAATTTAGCTGACAGGACACTTGGTACAACCCACGTATTACCCTTGCACTCTATTAGCTTAAACATAATTATCAAGCATATGAAAAATATTAGGTTCTAAGAATTTTGTGAAAAGTTTTTTTTCAACAATGCTTTGTCAGTTGCAGAAAAGCTGAGGTATATTTGTTTTTTGTAACCTGCAGGGACTAAAGATACTTTTTACAGTACAGGCAGAAGTAGAACCTATTCAGGCTCAAACTTGCAATGAACCTCTCTTCAGTGGAGGTAGTGAAATAATATTACACTTGACTTGTTGTATGTTTTGGTAAAAGTTTAAACAAAACCCCACCTTTAAATAAGCAGCATTATAGAATATGTAGAATTAACTAGAACTAAATCATAATGCAGCATATTAAAATATTCTGATCTGGGTGATGAAAAAACTAAGTCTCAGTAGCTGTCATCCTCTTACTAAAAATATAAAACTAAGGTAACAGTGACTCTAGTCAGTGGGTAGTCAAAAGGTAGTGTAAGAAAGGCTTGCAAAGAAAAGTCAGTAGTTAAAAAGGTCTTTTTCATTTATTGCTCTATAGTATAATAATGGCCAGTCTTCGCGAGCGAAGATCCGGGGAAGGTCTTTACACCTTCCAGCCTGCGTATTGGATTTTTTAGGTGAGACACAGTGTGCGCGGAACTGAGCCCACCCTTTAATCCTAAGGTTCATCTGCCGGGGCCAAGTGAGCTTGGACGGTGGCAGCGAGGTCCTTAGGACGTAGGTGGGTTGCCTTTAAGGGCTAACGAGCCCCACCTGCCCGGGAGTGGCCCTGACCGGGAATCGAACCCGGGTCTCCGCGCTGATAGCGCGGCGCCTTTACCACTGGACCACCAGGGGCTATTGCTCTATAGTAGAATTGAAGTAAAACATCTATTTGCAGTCAGGAGAGATGAAAATTAAGACCTCTGTCTTGCCAATCAGTATTGTAATAGAAGAGTTTATAAGGTAAGTGTGATCTCAGAAAAGGCTTCAAGATACATTGGAAGAATAACCTGAAGCATGTGACAATATAGTTTCTTTATTGAAGTACTGAATTTGATCAGTCAATTATATGTAGCAATAATGTTGAGATTCTGTATTTTGTGTGCACAAATACTGTACAATTTACTGTGAATCTATAAAACACTGGTCATTGGGGACAGAGAGGATGTTGAGATTGGAGGAGGGAGATTGTTCACCAATTACAGCCATGGGCAAAACAGGCCCCATTGCTCAAGCAGTAATATCAAAACCAGAGTGATCTGGAGTAATCTCATTTATTGTATCACCATCCATTAAAATAATGAAAGAAAAAAAAAAAAATGTTAAAATGAAGTAATTCAGGAAAAAAAGCAAAATCAAATTGACAAATGTTTAGACTTGAAAGCATTTGAGAGAGTCTTTAACTGATGTTTGTTATCAGCTCAGTTTTTAATATTACAGCACTGCACTAGTAAGAACTCCGTTTCAAAAACTTTGTTTGCATTTTGGCAGGTTGAAGCACTGCTTCAGGACTGCTCTAAACTTGTGTTGGATATTCCTGCTTGGGTGCTCAGTAGCAGTTTCCAGTTTCAAGAATAGCCATGTGTGTTAGCAATGACTGTATTTCTGATGATCGTTTCTGATCATCATTACTTGTGCTGTTATAACCTTTACATTTCAATTTCCTGTGTGTGTATTGTCAGGTTTTTTATGTAAATTCTTGGCTTCGTGGTAGAAGCTCTAAGACATACCTAGAATTTCTTAAACACTAGGGAAATGTTTGGATTCACAAATGTTCATTGCCCACTAAGTTCTGGATTTCTCATTTCGTACAGACTGATAATTAATTTTAGCTGAAATAGCTGCTTGTGTAGTTTATCAGTAGTAAAACGGTGATAGCTTAATATTTTTGCAGTTTTACTGAAAGATGGGGTTGAGTAGAGTCGAGTTATCCTTTCATATTGCTTACATATTCTTGAATTTTTAATTATTGCCTGTTTAATGGAAATCAGACTGAGGAAGCTTTTGTTACAGCCATAGTAAAGCAATTGTTTGAAACAATAATATTACATAACTCAGTGTAATACCACATTCTCTGTTATGAAGTAAGTTGTAATTTTTGTTGAAACCAGCTGATAACCTGGCCGTCTAATGAGAGTGTCCACTGCATAATGGAGTGAAGGAGACAGTCTGGCTTACAAATACTAAGCTTGGAGTTCAAGGTGTTCCATAATTCTTAAATTCCTTTAAGCGTATTTTACCAAATATACTTAGATATATGTGCACAACTATTTAATTCTATTTTGCAATCGAATAACTTGATTCTTGAACAAATAAGTTTCCCTGGCAAACCATTTGTAAAACTTAAATCCAGTTATTCCCTTCTCAATGCCCAGATTTTGCTTTATAAAAGGCAGAATGCCTTTTTTTTCTCTAAAATAACGAAATTGGAAGTTAATTATCTTCCCAAGCTCTGTACTCTACTGGAACTTGGATGAATTTTGTTAGTAGCTTAGTGACATGCTTGCATCTTACCTCTAAGGGTGGACTCAGAGGTCCTTGTGCAAGAAGTTACAGCATCTTTGTAAACAGATGCAGGGCATTAGGTGTGAGATGTTAATTCATAGTTATCAAACCCATATAAAGAAGGCAAACCCTGGCATACTTTTTCCCCCAAGATGTCATCAGGTGCTGAGGAAAAGTTACAGCAAAACTTTCACTGATGTGTTCTAATGGATTTTCCGAGTGGTTTATTTTGCAGTCATTGTCTTAGGTGCAGGGTTCTTTCTGGAACTTGCTCAGAAAATTGAATAATTTGAGAGTAAGCAACATTCAAAGTCAAGCTGCTTTCTTGTTACATAGAGAGAAAACAGATGGTAGCCCTGCAAAGCCTGTAAACTAACAGATGGAAGCTGCCACACCCCCTGATTAATAGAATATTGCTGCTTTGGCTATAAGAACAGTTATTATGAAGAAAAGTATGTCATTCAGCTTCTGAAAACTCAAAAAATTAGCTCTCTCTTCCTCCACTGTTGACCTTCGTGAATTTTCATTCCTTATGTGTACTCCTTCTTTGTTTTTCTTCAGATAGTTGAAAGCAATCTGTACTACGGAGCCTTGCTTGTCTAACAGCATAAAGACTTTCTTTGCATTATTACACTTCTCGAACTGAGGGTGTAGGAAATTGTCAGTCTGCCTAATGGACTCGACCTAGATTAAATGTTTCAACGTTTTCTGGTTCTGTGTGCACATTTTATTCAATAAAACCCATGTATTCCCACGTGTTCTGTACTGCTTTGAGAGTTCCTCCAGGGTTTTTCGGTTCTCCTACTCTCTGTAGTGTCTGGAAGCCCCATTCTCTTGAATGTCTAGGTGGTAAGTCTGATGATATTTTGTTTTAATTTTTGTAAATTCGGACCAAATTCAGATGAGGAGGGGAAGATGAGAGATGAACTCACTTTATATTTCTGTAGTGGAGGAGGAGGAAGTGCATTATGCAAGTGGAGTTCTGCAGTTCGCAGAACAGTCACTGACAGGCATAGCAAATTCCTTTTGTTTTGGAGACAATTGTTTCGTGATAAACATATATCATACAAATCCTTATCAAAGACTTCAAGGTAAAGGGAGCAACTTACTGGAGCAATTTGTCCTTGTTATCACAGACTTCCCTGTTGGGGACGGCTGCCCTCTAACCTGTCTCGTTCTTATATGAAGGAATATTTAAAAGGACAAGCTCTCTTCGGA